TTCTCCTGAATATGTGGGACTGCGAGGTAGCCTAGTTGTTAGTTCTCCTGAATATGTGGGACTTTGAAGTAGCCTAGTCGTTAGTTCTCCTGAATATGTGGGACTGCGAGGTAGCCTAGTTGTTAGTTCTCCTGAATATGTGGGACTGCAAGGTAGCCTAGTGGTTAGTTCTCCTGAATATGTGGGACTGCGAGGTACCCTAGTCGTTAGTTCTCCTGAATATGTGGGACTGTGAGGTAGCCTAGTTGTTAGTTCTCCTGAATATGTGGGACTGTTAGGTAGCCTAGTGGTTAGTTCTCCTGAATATGTGGGACTGCATGGGAGCCTAGTAGTCAGTTCTCCTGAATATGTGGGACTGCGAGGTAGCCTAGTGGTGAGTTCTCCTCAATATGTGAGACTGCGAGGTAGCCTAGTGGTTAGTTGTCCTGAATATGTGGGACTTCGAGGTAGCATAGTGGTTAGTTCTCCTGAATATGTGGGGCTGCATGGTAGCCTAGTGGTTAGTTCTCCTGAATATGTGGGACTGCATGGGAGCCTAGTAGTTAGTTCTCCTGAATATGTTGGACAGCGAGGTAGCCTAGTGGTTAGTTCTCCTGAATATGTCGGACTGCGTGGTAGCCTAGTGGTTAGTTCTCCTGAATATGTGGGACTGCGAGGTAGCCTAGTTGTTAGTTCTCCTGTATATGTGGGGTTGCATGGTAGTCTAGTGGTTAGTTCTCCTGAATATGTGGGAAGGTTAGATAGCCTAGTGGTTAGTTCTCCTGAATATGTGGGACTACATGGTAGCCTAGTGGTTAATTCTCCTGAATATGTGGGGCTGCGAGGTAACCTAGTGGTTAGTTCTCCTGAATATGTGGGTCTGCATGGTAGCCATAGTGGATAGTTCTCCAGAATATGTGGGACTGCTTGGTAGCCTAGTGGTTAGTTCTTCTGAATATGTGGGACTGCGAGGTAGGCTAGTTGTTAGTTCTCCTGAATATGTGGGTCTGCATGGTAGCCTAGTTGTTAGTTCTCTTGAATATGTGGGTCTCCATGGTAGCCTAGTTGTTAGTTCCCCTGGATATGTGGGACTGCGAGGTAGCCTAGTTGTTAGTTCTCCTGAATATGTGGGACTGCGAGGTAGCCTAGTGGTTAGCTCTCCTGAATATGTGGGACTGCGAGGTAGCCTAGTTGTTAGTTCTCCTGAATATGTGGGACTGCGAGGTAGCCTAGTGGTTAGTTCTCCTGAATATGTGGGACTGCGAGGTAGCCTAGTGGTTAGTTCTCCTGAATATGTGGGACTGCGAGGTAGCCTAGTTGTTAGTTCTCCTGAATATGTGGGACTGCATGGTAGCCTAGTGGTTAGTTCTCCTGAATATGTGGGACTGCAGGTAGCCTAGTTGTTAGTTCTCCTGAATATGTGGGACTGCAAGGTAGCCTAGTGGTTTAGTTCTCCTGAATATGTGGGACTGCGAGGTAGCCTAGTTGTTAGTTCTCCTGAATATGTGGGACTGCGAGGTAGCCTAGTTGTTAGTTCTCCTGAATATGTGGGACTGCGAGGTAGCCTAGTCGTTAGTTCTCCTGAATATGTGGGACTGCATTGTAGCCTAGTGGTTAGTTCTCCTGAATATGTGGGACTGCGAGGTAGCCTAGTTGTTAGTTCTCCTGAATATGTGGGACTGCGAGGTAGCCTAGTTGTTAGTTCTCCTGAATATGTGGGACTGCATGGTAGCCTAGTGGTTAGTTCTCCTGAATATGTGGGACTGCATGGTAGCCTAGTTGTTAGTTCTCCTGAATATGTGGGACTGCGAGGTAGCCTAGTGGTGAGTTCTCCTCAATATGTGAGACTGCGAGGTAGCCTAGTGGTTAGTTGTCCTGAATATGTATGACTTCTAGCCTGGTTAGCATATGGTGTAGCCTCCTCCTGAATATGTGGGACTGCATGGTAGCCTAGTGGTTAGTTCTCCTGAATATGTGGGACTGCGAGGTAGCCTAGTGGTTAGTTCTCCTGAATATGTGGGACTGCGGGTAGCCTAGTGGTTAGTTCTCCTGAATATGTGGGACTGCAGAGGTAGCCTAGTTGTTAGTTCTCCTGAATATGTGGGACTGCATGGTAGCCTAGCCCTGAATATGTTAGACTCTCCTGAATATGTTGGACTGCGAGGTAGCCTAGTGGTTAGTTCTCCTGAATATGTGGTGTTGCATGGTAGCCTAGTTGTTAGTTCTCCTGAATATGTGGGACTGCATGGTAGCCTAGTTGTTAGTTCTCCTGAATATGTGGGACTGCGAGGTAGCCTAGTTGTTAGTTCTCCTGTATATGTGGGGCTGCATGGTAGCCTAGTTGTTAGTTCTCCTGAATATGTGGGACTGTGAGGTAGCCTAGTTGTTAGTTCTCCTGAATATGTTGGACTGCGAGGTAGCCTAGTGGTTAGTTCTCCTGAATATGTGGTGTTGCATGGTAGCCTAGTTGTTAGTTCTCCTGAATATGTGGGACTGTGAGGTAGCCTAGTTGTTAGTTCTCCTGAATATGTGGGACTGCATGGTAGCCTAGTTGTTAGTTCTCCTGAATATGTGGGACTGCGACATAGCCTAGTTGTCAGTTCTCCTGAATATGTGGGACTGCATTGTAGCCTAGTGGTTAGTTCTCCTGAATATGTAATGCAACGTAAAAATAATTGTTGACAGAAGACTGTCATTATCAGGCACACACATTGCGCGACCAATCGTGTACCGGTAGATAGGTCAACGGCGGCAAAGCTATGGCAGATCACGTGATGTTATCGGGTTATGTGTTCACCCCGCAGGGTGTTGTGTGTCAGTTCTCGGGAAATCATATCAGTTTCTAAGTAGTACACAGGGCTCGATGTGCACCTTCCTTGATCGGCTGGTGGTCTATTCAGATCATTCTGTGCATGATGAATGTGTACGCGTGACGCGGCGTTGAGCAATGGTTCGGGTTAAACCATGTCGTGTCAACTTCATGCTGGGGGAAGGCCTTAGACGTCTAAACAAGAACACGACTATATATGTCTTAGTCATTCTACTACCCCACACGTCCAGCTCTATGGGGGCGGTGGGGTAGCCTAGTAGTTAAAGTGTTCGCTCTTCACGCCTAAGACTAGGTTCGATTCCCCACTTGGGTACAACGTGTGAAGCCCAATTCTGTGTTCCCCGCCGTGATATTGCTGGAATATTGCTAAAATCGGCGTAAAACTAAACTCACTCACTCCAGCTATATCATCGACATCATTTGTAGGTTCGATATCTTTGAAGAAGTCCCAGCTATATAACAGGGTCAGGTGTTCTAATCTAAAACAAATTTGAATGGCTTAATCTTTCGAGGTTCGGGAAAACCAGGTTACAAATACAAAATCAACTTCAACATACTAGTTACTATGTAACGTGTCCATAACACAATGAGGTCATAGCGTATCTTTAAAACAAGTGTAATATATTTCTAGGTCGTAGGACAACACATGGCCTGACAATTGGTTGGTTTGTTTCCAAATGTATATTTGGAAATTATTTTCGGCCTTTAAAGCTGAGATATGATGCTTGTATACCCTCGTAATGGTCAGCATTATATGGACCACAGTCTCTCAGATATGCAATACATTGCAGAAAACATTACTGGATGTTCACATGGTGGTTCTTTGTAACAGTTGTAAGAGTTAAGAATATTTTGCATCACTGCACCTCAGTATATTCGGGATTATTAGAGTACCGCGTAGGTACAAGCTGTAAGACAAATATGCCCATTTTGACAATAATGTTCTCACGTAGAGCGGGATATTTTGGTTTTCTTGTGACCAACATATTGCCAACATCTACAACAGTGCGCTTACAGGCTGTACACATTAGTTGTTTTAATTAATGTGACCATCATATGAGTTCTGTCACGTCTTTCCTATTCTACTAGGTTGAGAGAGACCTCGTTCAGACAGTGTCCACCACGATGTCCTCCCCTGTCTTAGCTTACTGCTAAATGTACCCCGAGAGATTCTCCTATGTTAAATACCAACTTGTCCAACCGTAGGTGTTCCACGTTGATCACAGACCGAGGTCGATGCCCAGCTATGAAGACAGAAGCTGAAAGGTGATGTCAGTGAAACCGTCTGACTTTGGGGTCGGAGCAACTTTCTCTGTCTGTGCTGGATTCGGTACGATCTGTGTGTCGAGATTACAACAGGTGTATATGTGGGACTGACTTGTTGTTATCAATGTCGCTATGTGTGATATGCATTGTGGTGTGATTTCAACTTGTATCTGTTTTGGGTTTGTTTGTTGTTGTTGTTGTTTTTGTTTTTTTTTTTTTTTGGGGGGGGGGTTGACAGTGGTTTTAAACAATATTCCAGCAATATCACGGCGGGGCACACCAGGAACGGGTCTCACACATTTTACTCACCAGGCCGCCTCGGTTACTTTCAGCTTTAATAATATAACTTGCTTTATCATTGTACATCAACTGAACTTAAGTCTACGTTTGTCAATGTTGCACAAACAGTCGGTCTGTCTGTGCATAAATATATTTTCCTTCTCATTGTGACTGGGATATACTGATCGTGGCTTGACGGTAAAGTGGACTGAACAATCTGCGTTAGTTATTAGAACTGAAAGATCATCAGACCGATGACCACCACCATACATACACCCCGTTGCATAGCATTTTATAAACGTACATAGCTTCTTTCATCTTCATCACTAAATATCCTTCATCACCTCTTGCCTTCTTTAAAGATGGAAACAGTAAGGACATACATGTTTGTATTTTAATGGATACTACATATTTAATGGTTTAAACACAAAGATACCTCATACAATTTAATAAGTTACATGGAAGATATTTAGCTCAGAGATCAACCTACAGAGACGAGGTGCAGTAGTTATTGTCACATTATACACAGAAGCATTGGCAGAGAGCCACACATGTAATCTTCTACCGATATAGCCCAGTACATGTATACCTGTTCTTGTATACTTGACAACTCATAGCTATAAATATAATCTCACTTTGACTCAGCGACAGCTTACACAGGACATGTAGATCGACAGGTGGCGCGTTTCGACGGGTAGAGGGTATTGTAACATGCACTGATTACTTCATGGCTGTATCCTAAACGACGGATGATGCCCGATATGTTCTATCTGCTCATCATCATTCATCTGACTGTCATCGGTAAGGAATTATCACCTGTAATCTTGAACAAGTATTGTAATAATAGGACGACATTTGTGTGTGTCTGTCCCGGTGAGACTACACCACATTTGTCCTGTAGATGCCATGTGTTTTAAAAGATATGTTCACATATCAGATTTATCTAAATACAACTGTTCACATTTGAAGTATTCATGTTCATATAAACCGTTTGGGTGTTCATCTCCTTATACATTTAATGAGTCAGATCTACATTCTGTATATAGTCATAGGGTTAGGGCAGTTAGATGTACATAGTTACAACATCTAGAATCATTCAGAAGTACTGAATCCTATTACGATCCTATCACAGTCTATTTCGTGAACTCCACAGGTGCCGCTTCACTAACCCCTGATTCAAACCTCACTCGCTGTTCCAATGGATGTCAAAAACGATATGGCGGGTTGACCTGCCAAGCATGTACTGGCGGGTGTTATGGAGAAAGGTGTACACAGCACTGCAGCAACTGTGACAGGGATGAGTGTCACAGACATACGGGTGAATGCTATAGATGTAAACCTGGCTACTACGGCAGGGTATGTGATACCAGATGTCCTGGACATTGCTGGGACACTACAACGAAACATCATGCTTTCTGTGACCGACATACAGGTAGATGCTCACAAACATGCACAGAGGGATATTACGGCAAGTCATGTGAACAGCAATGTCCCGGCTACTGTTTACATTCTATCTGTGACAAACTGACAGGCCATTGTCTCCGAGGTTGTCAGCGTGGCTGGAGAGGCCCCCGATGCAATAAGAAATGCCCTACCAATTGTCTGAGAGTTAAGTGTAACAGTGATGGCACATGTAAGGATGGCTGTACGCCTGGGTTCTATGGACTGATGTGTGACAAGATATGTTCCAACTGTTACTCTTCTGGATGCGACAGACTGTCGGGTAAATGTGACCAGTGTCGTCCGGGCAACTGGGGGGACAGGTGTGACGAAACATGCAACAGTGGGTGTTATACTGAACGGGATAATTCTACCAATTGTCACCGCGATACCGGAACATGCTCAGGTGGATGTAAGGATGGATGGCATGGAACACATTGTAATCTCACGTGCAGCGCTACATGTAAAACTGCATTGTGTTATCGTGACGGCTCCTGTTACGAAGGCTGCCAAAATGGCTGGAAAGGGTCATCCTGCAACGAGAGAATGTGCTCTGCAAACTGCCTCAACGATATCTGCAATGGCGATGGAAGATGCACACTTGGATGTAAACCAGGTTTCCATGGTGACACTTGCGATACGAAGAGGTGTTCATATACAGGATGTTACCATGTCAACCCGGATGAGTGTGGTCCGGGTTTTTACGGCGAAACGTGCGAATTGAAATGCAGCACCAGCTGTAAAGCAGGGCCGGACAATCTAAAACGTTGCCACAAAGTCACTGGTAGTTGTACGCACGGCTGTCTGGATGACTTCTGTGATAGAGACTGCAAAAGACAAAGAAGAAGTCTGGAGGTGGACAAAGACGAAATACATTGCTCGGAACAACTCCTTAAATCAGGTTGGGGGCCTTTGACCTTGACTTCATTTGTTTGAACCAAGAAAACAAAACTTTTGGTTTCTTTTTCATAATTTTGGTGAATTTACTTTCATAGCGTAATTGATCTTCATGATGTAATGGGATGTCGATTCTCCTCGTCGCATCTATGTTACTCATTCGTATTATTAGTAAAATGATGTATTGTGTTGTGTTGCAGCGGCTGATCAGAAGAAAGTGGCTGTGGTACTGTTACCGTTGATGCTGTCCCTCACACAGTGTCATCTACCTACCTAGCAGCCTAGTGCCCGACACCTCACCGCGTCAGCTTGCTGGGGGTTACCCTCGTGGTCATGTGGTTGTTTCGAGGCATCTAAACTGCACTTGGAAGGGTGTGGTTAGACGATGTCCTTGAGAACACTGCTTGACATGCACTTGCCATCATCATACATTTGGGTTTATGTGAAAGGAAACCAACGTAAATATTTTCAGAAGTATTTTCTTACAAGATACAAACATTGTGTACCTGTTGCCCAACGTTGACGATTTAGTCGATAGGGCCAGATAACAGTAGTGTACTTTCTTTTGTACCTCAGTTTAGTTTCATCATCTTTATCCTCGGTACTCGTCTGAGGTGTCGCATTTTTCTGTGGCCTGTCCTTCACAAACTACTGTTGTGTTGGGGACAGGATACCATTCCAAGCCCCACACTAGTACTTATGGTTTACATATCTGACAATGTCCAAAAATTAACTACGTAAGTATTCACGAATTTGATTTTTGTGAATATAGTACTATGGTTGTTATGTGTCTATTCGTGAAAGTTATTGACTTTACGTCAGATTTGTAATATGAACTATGAACAATAAAATCCTGTAAAATATCTCACTCTCTCCCTGTGTTTTGATTCTGGTCGTTGTGATTTGACTCTCTGCGCACCACTTCTATTAACAGTTGGTTTGGGGTGGGTTTTTTCAGAAAACTTTGTTATTTTCTTAGGACGGTTTAACACTTTACACTAATGATCCAGTAAATTAATATTGCTATATAAGGACGGATGTGTCGTCAATATCATCGATTTCACTAGTTACGAAAACACCCTGCAATCGGATGACAAGACATTTATTTATCACTTAACTGGCCTTCATCAGCCCATGATTGCCGTCAGGGACAATTCAGGGTGGTCAGACTCGTGGTTGGTGTATATCATCGAATCCTAGTCGCGTTGATGGGTGTTCATGATGCCAGTCACTGGATTGTATGGTCCAGTCTCGATTATTTACAGACCACCTTCTTATAGTTGGAATAGTGTCCAGTGCGGAGTTAAACAAACAAATAAGTCACAGGGCAGACATGTATTGGTATCTGCGTTGTAATTACACCTATCAACAGGAAGGGGTCTATCTATCCCTGAAGCCTAGTCTGTCTCACAGTCCCTGAACCACATTACTACCCCTTCCATCCAGCTCTCCCTGCAATACTAAAGCTCTAAATGAAGCAAGTCTAGATTTCCTCAGGTTTTGACTCTCCCATCTCAATGGGGCTCCTTTCAAATTTAAATGGGATTATTGGTTACTATCCAAATGTTATAGATTCAAAGACTAAGCGTTAGTCCACCTAAAGCCATGCAGGTCTGGTCGTTCCTATCCAGATAGGTATAGCCCTCAACCTTAATAATAACGTTTATGTACACACTAACATTACGGGCTTGCCCTTTTTGTTTTTGTGCAAACCACTTAAATATGTTTCTGTGTATTTTCATTTATCCCAAATACTTAATTGCTTTAATTGTCAAGTGCGCCGAAATTTTCCTGATTTACTGGATTTACAAACATTTGGTATATCCTCATTATTCAATACTATATATAAGCATGAAACCAGGACTGTTCGAAGTGCTCATATATTACAATTTGGTAATCTGAGAGGAATACACAATACCGGAAAGTATGTTCACCATGGCTACTCCACCAAAATCTGAATCACCAAGTTGTCAAATAAAATAACACTGGCGATCACATCAGTACCTGGTGTAACAACCACTCACACAGTTAACATGGACCAGTCTCCTATTGTACCAGCAATGAAGCGTCGTCTTCTAGTCATCGGAATTCTCTACCATTCCTCATGGGGTGTGCTTCAGTTCCTGCAGACTTTGAACAGAAGGATCTCCATCGCGAACTTGGCGTCCAAGATAGTCCCAAGGATGTTCGATGGGGGTTCATATCGGGGCTCCTTGTAAAAATAATAATGAGAAGTGTTAGAATGCGGTAATCTCCACGCAACAATGCATGCTCAAAGCGCTAACACCCTGATTATTATTACCCCGGATAACCCAAGCTGCCTGTTAGGCGCTAGAAGGTTAAAGTCACATGACTTTATCCAACCGGGTACCCATTTTCTACTGGGTGAACAGAGGCAATTTTGAAAAAACTCACTTGCCTAAGGTGAGATCACATGTATCACATGTGCTTCGTTGTGGGGCAGGGCGGAAGTCCTAGAAACTCTCAGGAGTAAAGCTGTCAAACACGGTCACCCATCCAAGGACCTACTTGTAGGTCCTGATAATGTTTCCATGGCGTTGTTCTTGGTTATTATATCAATTTCTCAAAATGCCCTTGGATTCAATTTGGTGCTTAATTAATGCTCACGTGATCTCATCGGTTAAAGACAGACATCAACGGGTAAAGGTCCTCTTGTTAACGGAACAAATACCGCCATAACGCCAAAACAATATGATGAAACTTTTCATACCTATTCGCTTCGCTGACAACCTCGATACAATCCAATATATGTCTCTACAAAGAGTGGGACGAGCATGTATGAACCACACATACGACGAGTAAACCGTACATGTTTATCCACAGCATATTGCACGCAGTATAAGTGTTCAATTGTGTTATTGGGTTCTATTTTGCCTACATGTTTCGTTATTTCAGGGATGGTGGAACTAATTTTTACAACTTAGACAGCACTATTCCGTTACATGCGTAGAATTTCTGAGACCTGAAAATAAAATTTAATCGAGTAAAAACCGGTGGTTGATGTCATGAACAAGTCTATTGACAATGACAACCAATCCGTCTGGTTCTGTTATATCCCCATGGTACCAGGAACCATGCTGTTCAGGAATACCTACAGGACAGACGTGGAAAGAGGGATAGAGAACTTGACGTTATTGTCTTGGACCCCAGTACGTGATCAGTCGGTGTTAAGGGGTAAAGTACATACTAAATCAGTAGATAAAATACAGATAGGTATGACAGAGTGGCATGCACAGCTAGACTGACATGCGCAGCAGACCGGCGCATGATAATCCTGTACACTTAAGTCGATACCTATCGTACTTCGCATTAGATCATATTACAATGTGCACAATATTGGCATTCAAATAATTAAAAAACTATAACACGCATCGACGCCGGTTTTCTCCATTCATTAACGCAAATGCATATGCCTATCAGGAGGGACATAATGAATCAGATGTATTTGTCAACAAAACATCAATTTGGTTGTTCGCAGAAAGTTAGTTCACTAAATAAAATATCTAAATATGTATTGTTCGGCTGACAGTTTTACCACAAATGGAAGGAAATCTGACCCTCATTTATACAGGGAGTGATAACCCATCCACCTACCAAAACAGACAACATTATTTATCCGATACAAACCATTTAGATTAAAGATTTTAATGATTAAGAATACAAAGAAATACAATCATTGCACATATGAGACACAATATTGATATGTAAACCAGAAAAGAAAGCAGAAAGACGGGTTTAGGCATGCTTCGTGCTGTTGGCAACCCGCCAGACATAGAGTCAGATCTTTAAAATCAAGCAGTGTTTGAAATGACAAGTCATAGTTATATATAGAGCACTTGTAGTATCAAAGTGTACTCTGGTCCAGGTGAGCGGTTCTGGGCCCGCATAAGCTACACATTTACCAGGCGATAGTGTTCCCTCCAGCGGACACCCCGCACACTGGGACACGGTGATGTGTTTTCTCCGATACTTTACATTTGAATAACAACACTCGTATTGATGTTTCGGCTTTGAAAGATGGAAAGATTTCTCAGTCGCATTGTGACTATCATCGCTTTGATATACGCATGTCATGGTAAGATGTTTCTTAATCAGTTTCAAGTGTATGTTTGTTGGTTGGTTAACGCCGCAAGCAGCAATGTTCAAGCGGCATGGCGGCAATTTGAAGTGACTGTAGTATCGGAGTATTATGCCGCTTTTAGCAATATTCCAGCAATATCACGGGGAGAGAGAGGGAGGATGGCACCAGAAATGGGCTTCACACATTGTACCCATGTGGGGAATCGAGCCCGGGCCTTCGATTCGGCGCGGCGAGCGAACGTTTTAACCACTAGGCTTCCCCACCGCTCCCGGCTGTATGAAGAACTACATGTATGGCGTTGTATATTAATCGTATGAAATATCGCCTTTCACCAGTAAAGTATCACTTCTTCCTTCAGTACCGATGAAGATCGGGGTTAGAATTGGTCAGGATTGGTCTTCAGCAACCCATGCGACGTAAAACTAAACTCACTCACTCACTCCCTCACTTCTTTCAGCATAATGCAAATATACCAGATTTAAAGCTTGGACCTTAAGTTACTAGTATAAAGCTATCAAATATGAAATATTCCATTGTGAATTGTCTAACACTATTGATGTTATTCCACAGGAATCACCGGTACTCACGGCAAATGTAGTGATGGGTGCACCGCTCCGTATGGGGGATTAACTTGTCAAGCGTGCCGACACGGTTGCTATGGAGACAGGTGTAACAACCACTGCAGCCACTGTGACACTGGCGGGTGTGACAGAGATACAGGCAGGTGTTACAGATGTAAACCAGGTTACTATGGTGACGACTGCAGCACTCTATGCCCAGTAGACTGTCCTGCAGATGACAAGGGTCATTATTATTGCAACAGAACCACGGGGAGCTGTGTGGAGACCTGTCCCAAGGGACACTTCGGGAACACATGCCAGAACCTTTGTCCACAACATTGCAAACACTGGTCTTGTGCCAAAACCAATGGGGACTGTCTTGCTGGCTGTGAGCATGGGTGGACGGGGTCTTTCTGTCGTGAGAAGTGCTCTGCCAATTGTCTGCGAGGAATATGCCACATCGACGGCAAGTGCAAAGAGGGATGCGAAGCTGGTTACTATGGACGGTTCTGTGACCAGAAATGTTCCAACTGTTACATCACAGGATGTGACAGATTTACAGGAAGATGTGATCAATGCTTACCTGGTCTCCATGGCGACAACTGTAACATGACATGCAGTAACTACTGTTACACAGAACAGGATGGCTACAGGCACTGTGCGCGAGAAGACGGAAAGTGTTTACAGGGATGCATACGCGGACGACATGGATCTCACTGTGGAAGAAAGTGTAGCATCAACTGTAAGAATTTCGCATGCTATCCAGAAGACGGGTCTTGCGTTGACGGCTGTACGCACGGACGGAAAGGGTCTTTCTGTAACCAAACCTGCTCGAAACATTGTCGGAGTGGCGCCTGTTATACAGATGGAAGATGTAAATATGGATGCGAACCAGGGTTCTATGGTCTATTTTGTGATCGGCAATGTCCACACTGTGATAGTACGGGATGTGACAGAACATCGGGCAGGTGTGAGGAATGCTCCCCGGGCAGATATGGCAATGGTTGCAATCAGACGTGCAACAACTGTTATGCAGGACGATATAGTTCGGGTATTTGTCAGCGGGAAACCGGAAGATGTCTAGAGGGATGTAAGGACGGTTGGTATGGACCAACATGCAGTCAGCCATGCAACCAGAACTGTAGACCCCAGATCTGTAATACAGATGGCGCCTGTATAAATGGCTGTATGCATGGATGGAGTGGAACCCACTGCAATATCACGTGTCCTGGCAAATGTTTCAATAAGGACTGCCTCACTGATGGAAGGTGTAAGCAGGGATGCAGGGATGGGTTCACAGGAAGATCGTGTGAGGAAGAATGTCCTACTTGTAAAACTTACAGGATTCATGTAATTGAGCCTTTCACAAGTAGTGAGTCGTCTCAGCTAGCGCCCATATCAGGTAAGAGTTTCAAGTCTACAAACATATATTTCGACTGATACCTAAAAAACAAACAATGAATCTGTGAAGTACACATGTTACCTTCTGACACATAGGCATCAACAGTATATAATACATTAAAGACATGTTTTACTTCATTTGATTGAACCATATGTGTTAAGTTATGATATTTATTGACAACCCATGAACTTTCCATCATTTTAAATGAACATTCATGTTACAGGGCTTTGGATTCAAGTGGCTGCCATCATGGTTTGGGCGTATCACCGCTGTCCACTAGGCTGCCAGGACATCTGAACTGCAATCACGTCGAGGGTAGTTAGAAGAGTCCTGGACAGAACACTGACAGCTGATGTGTTGAACCAATGTAATGAGTACATACGTGACTGATATCCGCTCTGAAGACACCATCCACACAAAGAACATATACATCCAAACTACTTGTAGAGAAGCATACAACCAATGTGTAAATTGTATATTCTTGTACATTTTGTTTGACTGTGTACAAGTGTGTTCATGTAAATATGTCAGAAAACTGTATATATTTCCTCAAATTCTGTAAATTTGTATAGTTTCATATGTGTACATTATCATTGTGAACAAAAATGTTACAAGATAAAATTATATAAAGATAAGGACGTTCCAAAGTGCCATTGTTCCTTCCTGAATGTAGAAAGATGATAATAAATGTCGTGTATACGAACCCTTTGTTTGATATATTTCCTCAAGCAGTGAAAACGTTTTGAGGATTCGGGATAAAACATCAGTCCCAGAATGCATGCCAGGTAACCAGTGTATTGAGGGTCTGAATGGTAAGACCATGTGATAATGGCGGTGTTAAGTCATCTTCTCAACAGTGCCCATGCTATCATCTACTGACTTGACTGTTCCATACTTCAATGAGGACAAGTGAGTGAGTGAGTGAGAGTGTTAGCAAAATTCTAGTAATATCACGACGGGGACACCAGCTATGGGCTTCACACATGAAATGTCACCATTCACCAGTATCACTTCTTCTTTCAGCAGTACCCGTGAAGATCCGGGTTAGAATTGGTCTTCAGTAACCCATGCTTGTCTCCCCGTGAAGATCCGGGTTAGAATTGGTCTTCAGTAACCCATGCTTGTCTCCCCGTGAAGGTCCGGGTTAGAATATTGGTCTTCAGTAACCCATGCTTGTCTCCCCGTGAAGATCTGGGTTACAATTGATCTTCAGTAACCCATGCTTGTCGTAAGAGGCGACTAACGGGATCTGGTGGTCAGGCTCACTGACTTGGTTGACACATGTCATCGTATCGCAGTTGCGAAGATCGATGCTTATGTTGTTGATCACTGGATTGTCTGGTGTGGCAAATAGGGCATGACAGGGCAGAGACCAGTATCCCAACATCAAACCTTGCCACTGGGATAATTGTTGTCATTATTCTCATAGATCAGGGAAGAGTTACCATCAGGAAATATACACTATGTAATTACCGGTGGGATAATCAAATTTAGGACAGAAACTAAACCCCATCTCTGGCGACCGAGTGATATGTGCTATAAACTGATATTATCACTCTCATCAGTGTGGCTACCTGTTGCTCAGACAGACCAGAAGATACCCTTTGACACCGATAAGGAAACTATCAGTTGATAATAAGCAGTGGCCTATTGAAGTTTCAGTTCCACGAATTGGAAATTGATGCTGTTCCAATTTCAATACAAGTATTCACCATGGTGTACCCATGCGCTACCTTGCATTGTAAACTGTTAGATTTCCTTGTGCTTTACACATAATACCGGCAAATCAGAACTACGGTAGTCTTCAGTTTTGGTATATCACGTTAACAGTTTATTCATTTCTTTACTTATATTGTAAATTTGTAGATTATATCCCTGAACCCTGAACGAAGTAGTCTAGTCCCGCAACAAGGTCTGAGAAGAACAAAATCAAGCTAGTGAGCTTGTGTTACATGTTTGTATATTAAAACTAACTACGCTGCTCGGTGAGATATACAACGTATTTGGTAACAACCGTTAGGTCTGCACTGACCAATATGTCATCACATCACGACGTATTGGCTTCATGCAGGAAGAGCTTGAGCATGAGCTCGGTTACGGTGCAGACATGCCTGTTATAGACCGAAATCAGGGATTCGAACCTCGACCACTGACTGAAAGGGAGACCCACATCTGGGATCACTCACTCACACCACTGGGTTTTGAGGTAATTAGGGTATGTATTGTTAGGATATTGATGGAGCATATATTTGAAGTAAACTGTGTTCATACAGCTACTTCACTCACTCACTCACTCATTCACTCACTCACTCATGATTCAGTCATGATGCAGTCATGGTGCATTCATGAAGGAAGACATACGACTGTACCAAATATGTTTTACAATTGTAACTTTGGTACCGTAATTTATAGTCTCCTTAAATGTGCACATTGTTCTGTAGTTACATAGCAGCCGGTAACGACTACCACACACAGAGATTAGAAAGTCCAGGGTCTGAGAAGCAGGCAGTCGATTTGTGCACGTAACAGTTGGACTCCATAATCAATACACTAGCCTTTTTTGCTCACAGTACCGTATGACACATTTTCTTTATCTGCATGTGTGTGTCTCTGTGTGTGTGCGTGCATGCGTGTACGTCGAACGTGATATCTGTTGATATACGTGCATGTATGTTTATAAAGCCTTTTCCCCCAGTCTATTCAGAACATGTATGAACGACCGAACCTTAACTTGAGTTTATTTAAGATCGGGTTATCGGAGTTTGAGACACCTAGTACAGACATGACGTCAGCGATTGTCGAATGTAGATTAAGTGGGGTATATACACTCACTCATGATTTCATATTGACAGAATGCAGTTATCAGTAATGTATTATGTAATGTATGAGGGTTGCAATAAAGAATAGATGGCACGTACCCAAGTTTTCAAACACGCTTATATTTAGCAAACCAAAATACACAATGTCTTACAAGCACAAAGATTTACAGTGTTTCCCCGGGACTGAATTCAGCCTTGAGTGTCAACGGTATTATATCTGTCAAATCGGTCTGTGGTCGTTGCCTGGTCAAAAGAATCACGACGTGTATGCCATTGGTCGTCGAATGCAACAAAGGGATCCTCCTGTACCGAACCTGGCCCAATTGGAAGCTGTTTTACACGAGGAATGGCGTAGACTGCCCCTTCAGAGGATCAGGAGGTGTATGAGGAGGAGAGTGCTGGCTGTCATACAGTCAGGTTGGAAGTTACACTCGGTATTGACATTGAATCGTGTAAGACAGGCAAAATGACATTTTGAATGTTCACATTCACCAATAAATTCAATATTAAACATTCCAGGGCCATACTTGTACAGACATTGTTTTGTATGAAAATAAGTGTGCTTTTTTTAAAATAGGCATTATTGATCATTAACTCAACATGGATTCCAATCATTTTGTTGTTTTTTATTAGTCAAAGGATCATAAAGGTTAGAATAACTCATGGGGTTTTTTTCAATCGTGGTCACCACGAGAAGTTTTATGTAAGTTTTATTATTCCAAAAATACAGGGGGTGCTTAATTAAGTTTTTTTGTGTATAAATGTATATTAAGGATATTACTGATACGAGACAAATGAGCAGGTGAGACAACTTGAAGCAGCTTCAGTACCCTGCCCTCTTCCATGTTTCCATTGCTTTGACGACTGTGGGATGAAGACGTAGAACACAATTCGAAGTTGAATCGGAAACATGGAGGACGAGTTACACGTTACAGAGTAGAAGTATTTATTTATTTATTTTATTTATATATATTTATATAGTGCCAATATCCAGATCACATGCTCAAAGGCGCTTTGTTTTTCCCTCGATCATTGGATGTCAATCTCAACGGTACATCGTATTATCAATCTCAACTCCCTGGAGATCATACAACTCTTGCTGCCACTAGGCGCACCGAGTTAGTGTGGCTTTCCCCATAACAGGTTGGCTCGATCCCTACCACCCTCAGGCTGGATCACCCACCACGCCTTACGAGTATACCCATTCACAGCGGGGTGGACTGGGACACAGTAATTTGTCCAAGTTTACATTGCTGTACCCGCAACTAGGTGTTTGCAAGTATTGACGTGGCCACCATCTGGTCAAATAGTTCGTGGGTTCGTTTAAGGGGTTGTGTACATACATATTGTTGTCTGCACTCAGACTCCAAGGTTTTATTTTGCAGATCCCGTTCAGGTATCACTTACCACGCCCTCGTAGTAACCCTGGCGTTTCGGAACTGGCATTTATCTAAAGTTGACTTGCAACTAACAGTCATATATATGTTGTTCTCAGTTTCATTTTGCAGAGCGTTAGGTAACTTAACCAGTAGCATGCTGGCATTTAGATGAAACAGGGTCAATATCTTCAAATTTAACAGGGTCAACAAATAACTAAATAGCTAGACGCCTCCCAAACCAAACACGAAAATATTTGTGTGCACAGAGAATGCATACAAGTAGGTCACCATGAGTTGACGGATACCAGCGATACTATAGAGTGACAATGATAGCATGCAGTCCCTACGTGCATAAGGATTGGAGTGAAACAGTACATACATGGGGGTTGCAGTTACACTATAAACTTGTTTACCTTCTCAGCTACTATCGAACAAAGTTGCATAAGCATATCTATTATAAACATGTACTGGAACACGACCTTCACTCGGTTTCTTCTTCCGGCTCATATTCAAGGGTTTGCCTTCGTGTTACTAGATACCCAGGTCAGCGTGTCTGAATAATGTGCATCACTAGTGCATGTATACCTATAGTTTGAGAGTAAAGTCTTTGTATCCATTAAACAGGTGAGACAGGAAAAGCGTTAAAGCATCATGTTTTTAATAAACAAAGTCATAAATGCAACCGTGCAGATGCAGCAGTGTTCCCTTAAGAATTGCAGAGAGATATTTATCTATATATTTGATTTCCATAGAAAATAACGTAAGAACGTCCGCATGAACTTCTGTGAGATATATCGTACAAAGAAAGAGGGTCAGTATTTGACCTATGAACATTTCCTGTAGAGACAGATACAAGTATATCTCCAGACTGCATCTGATGCCACCGCAGTACAAATATTTAAGTTTCATATTGTTTACATGTTACCCGGCAGTAAAAGTCATCAGTTTTAAATAGTAACAAATAAAGTTCGAAAGAGAATCGAATCCGGTGTCGAGCGATTTCTGTAAACATTAGGTTACACTGTAACTCCTGCGCACACCGTTATGAAAGGCTTTCTCTGCGGACGGAATGTATAAATATGTGGGTCTGCGAGGTAACCTAGTTGTTAGCTCACCTGAATATGTGGGACTGCGAGGTAGCCTAGTTGTTAAAGCGTTCGCTCGTTCACAACGAAACCTCGGGTTCGATTCTCCAAATGGGTAGATGGTGTGAAACCCATGTATGGTGTCCCCAGCCGTGATATTGCTGGAATATTGCTAAAAGCGGCATATAACTAAACTCACTCACATGGATATGTAATGAAAAGATTTAAGAAATCAACAATGAAGGACAATAAAAGATATTTCTCAACGTCGATTTCAAACTATATTCAGCAGATATACTGCTGGCTAACGGACAAACATGAAACAAGTAAATAAACTTGTGCAGTTGAAAATGTAATTTGACTCTTTAATTATTGTGAGGCACCTAGTCCTATACTGGGTACTAATTTATATTGAGTACTGCAGTCTGAGTTACATGGGGAAAAGTGTTGTTTTTAAAAACAATTCTTGGTCACCGTGGTACATGGACTCATAACGCTGAACCAATTGCGAGATCGATGCTCATGCGGTTGATCACTGGATTGTCTTTCGGCGTTAAACTACAAGGAAACAATAATGCTGGTGTCATATCGGATAACACAATTACAATATGTGTTATTCGACATATACATATTACATACGACACGTAATTACATTACGAAAATGGATGGAAAATGAAACCAGATGATGAACCAATAAGAGGATGCGATAACCGCAACCTTTGCCCCAAGATGAATCCCTACGTATACTGAGAGAAACAAATAAAGGAACAGTAAAATTCAAGCGTTCCTTTAATATTTTCCAGTTTTCATCACCAGCTTTGAATAGCGCTGTGGGAGGAAATCTGAGAATAAATAAAGGAACACTGTCATGAAGTAGTGTTCCCTTGTTTGTTTCCCTCTGTATATACTCTAAAAATCATCTATGTTTCAATTTACAAAATGCTAAGAATCGTGCAATCGTCAATTGTTATATATATATATCGCATAAGTATCATACATTGGCGACCTACCTTCGTACGGTGTTACCATTGGAAGCACAAGATACACCAATAAAACCCTGAACCTATCCATGTTGACCACGTCTGTTGTAAAGTCAGATCAAGATCTCCCTGACGTTTTATGGTCTGATTCACGCATAACTGAGGTTAACCCCAAATCCACTATGCGCATCCAGGGGAGCGTATCCGGGTTTGGAAGCAATTCAAAGTTAAAATATTGCAAATCTATTTATTTATCTATGGTATTAATAGATTTGACTACATGACGAAAATTACGTAGCGGGAGAACCGGTTCGCAAAAAGCCTACCGCAATATATCGTATTGTGATATATATCTTGGTACTCCCCCAAAACGCAAAATCTGCAAATAAGCATCACAAACTTCAGGAGACAAAATGTGCAAGTGAGTGAGTGAGTCATATCCGCAATATTTCATCCATATCTTAGGTATGTATTAAGAATAAATATTTAGACTATTGTATACTTTTTAATAGCCTGTCAGCGAAGGACAGTATAACGACTAGATTATCACACATTAATAAAAACTAGTTTGACTTCAATGTAAAATTTCAAAACAACACAATATAAAATCGGGCTATAGAAGGCAACTGAAGGTAGATCACCATGCTAGGCACCATGGGGACTTACGTTCCTGTTGCTACCTGCATGATCCCGAGCTGAATTTATATCATCCCCTCAGCTGTTGGCGAATTTTTAGCAATTTAGCCATAAATTAAAACTACAAACATTCTTCGATTAAAATTCTGGCAATGATCAACAAACATTGAAGGATGTTGTCTTAAGTACCCTCTTCGTAGGGCAGTATTTTTCGCTACTTCAACCCCCTCCGAGAGTCGGCCACTAATAATCATAGTCATGTATTCATTCGACCAAAGTTTAAAAAGAGCGTATTAATTACGGTACATGATCGATCGAGTTGAGAGAATGGTTGTTGCATGAAGTCACTAGCCATTGTCGCTCTTTGCCGTTTCCTCTGATGACTTAACCACACTTATTGTTATATCAGCTACATATTTTAAAAATGTTCATATACAGGAAATATATGTTTGCCCTTGGACCGTAATATAGTGATATTTCAGTTACACTGTGTATATCAAAACTTTCTAACTTTCCAAGGTCCATGTTCAAACTCGTGGCCCGTTGTTTGTTTATGAACAGTAAATTTCAGTTTGCACAATTCTCATGCAGTTTATACTGTTAATCTCAATCTGGATACTTGTCACCCACGTCCTCGTATCTTAGACGTGGACCGTGTGAGACAAGCAGTGAGGGTAAACCTTGTTTGTTGTCAGTAACCTGGACATTCTGTGGCTAGTTCCAAGGCGACAAGATTTTCTGGAGGGTGGAGGGTGTCATACTGATTGTGTGGCTGCCACTTCTACTGCTGCTGAGAGATTCTACACGATAGGCCCTGCTATTACTTTGGGCCAAGGACGAAGTTTGTTGCGTGTCCCACTGGTGGGACTGGGTGACCTCGACCTTTAATGCTGAACATTAGAGACAAATAGACTGCATTTCTAAGCAAAACTATTGTGGCGGTCAATTACGGTTCAGCCTAATGAGCCACAAGAAAAGCGACACAAACATTACACAAATTGTATGTCTGATGTTTTCGATTTACATAAACTAGCTCACATGATAAATAACAAAATGTTGAGACAATACTTTTCACGTTAACCTAGCCCATGATTGCATCATTAAGTTCAACCAAATGAGCAGTGGTCTTTTCCAAGAAGCCGTCTTCAGACGACATGAATGACGAGATAAATAGACTGCATTTCTAACCGGAACTATTGTGGCGATCCATTGCAGTTCAGCCTCGTGAGCAGCAAGAAAAGCGGCACAAACATTACACAAATCTTATGTCTCTAATGTCTGACGTTTACGATTACATTAGCTTGCATACAAGTTAGGATAATGTTTAAAGCTGGTCGGTTTTTTTCTATTCGCCGTCCTCGATGATTACCTAGAAGTGAGTGAGTGAGTTTAAAGTCCCATTGGCAGTATTTCTGCCATATCGTGACTAAGAAAGTTGTACATTTATATATGAATAAAAATACAAATTTAGAGAATATACCTACCTGTCTGCGAAGGACAGTAAAACAACTAGATTATCACAGATATAAATTTAAACCTAGTAATTAAATCTAAAATATTTTAACTATAAATGACAATACAATATAAAAATAGGTGGACTAAGAGAAAGTTTGTTATTGTACAGATCCTCATGATACGAAAAGATCAAAGACAATGTCTCAGAGCTTGATGGTGGGTAGAATCTAAAACTTTAAGGTTGCTTTTGCAGGCTCCGCCATAGATAATGGAGCCATAATCCAGTTTGGAGCGTATTATAAGTGCTCGGCAGAGTTTGAGGAGGGTTTTCTGATCACCTCCCCACTTTGTATTAGAGATAAATTTTAAGAAATCAAGGGCCTTCACGCATTTATTTTGTAAATATTTAATATGAGGTCGCAAGGTCAAGTGCTCATCAAAAATTAAACCCAATTTTGTTCCTTCTTTCACCACTTTAGGTGTGTTATTTCTTTTACCACCTTAGGTGTGTTATTTCTTTTACCACCTTAGGTGTGTTATTTCTTTTACCACCTTAGATGTGTTATTTCTTTTACCACCTTAGATGTGTTATTTCTTTTACCACCTTAGGTGTGTTATTTCACCTTAGATGTGTTACCACCACCTTAGATGTGTTATTTCTTTTACCACCTTAGGTGTGTTATTTCTTTTACCACCTTAGATGTGTTATTTCTTTTACCACCTTAGGTGTGCTATTTCCTTTACCACCTTAGGTGTGTTATTTCTTTTATCACCTTAAGTGTGTTATCTAAATATAAATCTAGGTTTTTGTGAGGTTTATGTTTGATTTATATTTGAGTTTTTTTATTTTGAAAATTTAAATCCATTTTCCAAATACCATTTATCAATCTGGTTTAAACAATGCTACAGTTGTCTTTCAATAGAATGTATATTTTTAAGAAATCAAGGGCCTTCAGGCATTTATTTTGTAAATATTTAATATGAGGTCGAAAGGTCAAATGCTCATCAAAAATTAAACCCAATTTTTTTTCTTCTTTTACCACCTTAGGTGTGTTATCTACCTTAGGTGTGTTATTTCTTTACCACCTTAGGTGTATTATTTCTTTACCTTAATTTCTTTTACCACCTTAGGTGTGCTATTTCTTTTACCACCTTAGGTGTGTTATTTCTTTTAACACCTTAAGTGTGTTATCTAAATATAAGTCTAGGTTTTTGTGAGGTTTATGTTTGATTTATATTTGAGGTTTTTTGTTTTGAAAATTTAAATCCATTTTCCAAATACCATTTATCAATCTGGTTTAAACAAAGCTGCAGTTGTCTTTCAATAGAATGTATATTTTTTCCACGACAAGGAATGTTAAAATCATCCACAAATAACAATCCATCAATTGAATCATTTGAAACCTTTGCTAAACTGTTAATCTTTATACTAAACAATGTGACAGACAAAATACTGCCTTGCGGAACACCCTGATGCTGACTATAATGACTGGCAGGGTTGTACCCACTCGTACTTGAAACTGCCTGTCATTTAAAACTTTGGATATGAATTGAGGCAAACAGCCTCTCAATCCAAAGTCACGTAAATGTTTTAAAATACCGTATTTTCATGTAGTCTCGTATACGTTTTTTTCTAGATCGAAAAAGATCGACACCGCATGTTGTTTATTAATTAAAGCGTTTTTGACAAATGATTCTAAACGCTCTAAGTGATCAATGGTGCTTCTGTTTTTACGAAAACCACATTGAATGTCGGTTATTAGGTTTCAAATGTGCAAGAAACGCTGTGCAAGAAACATTTTGTATATTTGAGATTGGCAGAAGTCTGCTAGCATCAAACTTGGATATTAAAGTGCACACAAAGGCAATTTGAAATTACAATCGCTTGTTCAAGTGGCTCCCCCTTCATGTTTACTGAAAGAGCTTGTTTTGGAGACACTACCCACACCCCTTTCAGATGACGTAATCATAAGGACATAAATTATTCTTATGTTTTCACTTATTCATACATGATGCCAAGGGGTCAAATAAATAATGAATGTCAGCTCTCAATATATTGTATATCTGGACACAATGTTTCTGAAAGATAAAAATGGGAATGTCCTTTAAAAACGGTCCCCGTCTAAATATAAATCAAGCAAGCCATACCTTTGAATGTTGATTATGACGGGAAGTCATCCAATACTATACTGAACATACTTTATATGATATTATCTGAGAGTATACCATTATCCAAGAGGTACCAAATGATAGATCGTTTTTCATGTTCTGCAAATTATTAAGAAATATTATACCCAAATGTGTTGTGATGACTAATATCTCGTTAACCACATTACCCACATATGTGAAATTTTGGATATGACTTTGCTAATAATTCCTTCAAAATAAAATGGAAGCTTTTCAAACATTGGACATCGAGAGTATAGTTAGACAGGCTACTTTTTTCAACGCCCCTCGTAACATACTTAAAAGAAAAGAGAACGTAGACGGAAGGAAACTTTTATTCTTATTTTGATAACTATTTATCACCTCACCTATTGGAGGATCTTTAATATTTTGTTTAAAGGTACTACTAAGGACCTATTCGACTCTTGTAACTGATGATTCTGGGATATACCTTCAGTTTTTACAGATGTGGATAAAGCTCGAAATTTAGATGACTATTTTGTATATGTTTCAAATGTTAATGATAGCCGTATGACTTTGCCACCTTTTAGCCATCGCTGTGTTAACAGTATAACAAATGTCATTGTAACCGAAAAGGAGGTATCTGATATGATTCAGACCTTACCAGCAAACAAATCTAGTGGACCTGATGGCATTAACATGGGAGTCTTAAAACGAATTTGTACATCTATACCTGAACCTCTTTGTTTGTTGTATAATATATCACTGAGTGACTGTATTTCCTACAATGTGGAAAACGGGTAATGTTACTCCTATTTTGAAAGAAGGAGTTACACCCCTCCCAACTAATAACAGACCTATTAGTTTACTATATCCTGGGGAAAATTATTGAAAGAATAATGGTAAAGCATGTGCACAACCATTTCCAGGAACATAGCAATTTAAGTAAATTCCAGTCAGGTTTTACTGCTAGTCATTCTACCACATCTCAACTCATAAAGTTTATCATAATATAGGCTCAGTCCTAGATAATCGCCACCTTTACTGTATGGTATTTTGTGACATTTCGAAAGATTTGACAGGGCCTGGTATAAAGGTTTATTGCACAAATTAGAAAATTACGGTGTTCGTGGAAACTAACTATCTATCTGAAAGACGATAGTGTGTCACTGTTAAAGGAACATTATAAAAAGAACGAAATGTTACTGCAGGGTTCCTCAAGGATCTGTCCTTGGTCCATTTGTGATCCTTGTATATATCAATGATTTACCTGGTAATCTATAAATATCACAAGAATGTTTGCCGATGAGGCGGGAAAAGATGTAAAATCAATAGAAGCCACTCTCAGCTATGATTTAGCCCAATTGAATAAATGGGCAGAAGAGTGGTTAGATTAACCCTAATAAGTCTAAATGTATGCTTTTCAACCACGGATATTGGCCTCAAGTCCCTGACTTGATCTTCAATAATGAACATTTGCAGTGTGTACATCAACATAAACATCTTGGTGTTACCTTATCAGACAACACAAAGTGGTCTCATCATGTAACTGCTGTAATAGAAAAGGCCTCAAAACTAGTTTCCTCATTACGGTCGTTAACGTACTTCCTACCTAGAAATATTCTATCGATCATGTATGACATGTACGCTAGACTAGAATATGCCCCTGAGGTCTTGGAAAATAAATTATTGTCCCTCAGATATTTGTGGCAAACTTCAAATGGTTCAGCTTGAAGCAGCAAAAATTGTAACCTGCCTGCCAAAATTCGCTTCAAGAGCTAGTTTATACAGTAAAACTAGTTGGTTACCTATAGACGTTAGACGCACACACAAGAAACTTTGAACCTTTTACAAAATTGTTAACATGCAAGCTCCTGATTATCCTTTGGACTTACATTCGCCATCTACTGAAACTATTTCTCTATACAATTTACGTAACAAGTCTAACTTGGCTATTCCAAAGTTTCGAACCACAGTTCTTCAAATGTCATTCGTACATGATTGTGCTTGTTTATGGAATAATCTCTCCTCCACAATAAAATATACCAATTCATTTCCATCATTTAAACTGAAATTATCTGACAAAAATGATAAAATTCCTAAAGATTTCCTATTTGCTGAAAGGAAGGAGAATATTCTACACATTAGTTAAGACATACATTGTAGTTCCTTAAATGCAGATCTTT